GTATGCATTCCTTCAATATTTAGTGAGTGCCCAAAATATACGGAGATACTAACTAACCCGTCCCTCTACCCTCTAGGGTCATTCCTCTCCTCTCTTTCTCCTCATCTTCCTCCTCCCCGCCCTGGTTCTTTTTTCCTTACCCTGTGCCACAGAGCTAGACTGAGTGCCCTGCAAGGCAGGACGCAGAGACGCAGAAGCCGGCCAGTGGAACCGACACCCTGGAAAGGAGCCAGATGAAATCAGGGCAAAGACAGCTGTGTGACATGCAGGGAGAAACTGTGCGGAATGAAAAGCAGTGATTCACGGAGCACCGCAACTCAGACACTCCTTGGGTTTCACCGGGAGAGCTACTGCAGGATTGGGGTCAATGAGGGCTGGCATCAAGATGAAGGGCAGCCGGGCTCCTCCTCCTTTAATCCTTGTCTCACCCCCGCCTCCTGCAAAACTCCCTCCCTTTGACCCGTGTCCTGGGCCTTTAAGAGTTGGAAGAGCTCACACCTCTCCCCTCCCTACTCCTTCCCTTTGGCTGCAAGTCTGCCAGTCACAGCAGCAAACTGCGGTAGAAAAGGGGAGGAAGCCAGTGAGCGAGCGAGCGAGAGAGGAGAGAAAGAGCCCAACTGGGTTTCCTCGTCCCACAGGAGCGAGCATCGCACAAGCTCACAGACACAGGACCGCTATCCTGCCCACGGTAAGGGCCCGGAGGCTCTGACCAGCCTCTGCCCCAAGCTCTGCCCTGCCTGAGTCCCTAACTCTGTCCGCCACATGTTTATCCCCCCTGATTAAACTGTACCCCGGACTCCTTAGCCCTAACACGTCTGCAAGGCTCCCACCTCCTGGTTCTCTCTAGCCCTTTGATTTGCAGCTTTCCTCCTGGCTGTGGCAGTCACCCCTTACATGGGGACCTCTTAGCTACCACTCAGAAGTGAGCCCCATCCTAGTAAGGGAAGAGAGAGAATTGGAGTAGAATAGATTCATTAGCAGAATGTTGAGGATTACCGAAGACTCAGGGAAGATCATACAAACAGTAGAGTTATGAGATTTTCTTAGAAAGAGCCCGGGTTTGAGCTCTATACTTGTTCTTAGCCTGCTCCATGGGCTAGGGCAGTTTGTTGGCATGCGCAAGTGCTGTGCTGGGAAGAGCACCTGCTTCTAGTCCTGATTTTGCCGCTAACCAGCTATGTGACTTTGGACAGCAGCTTCCTGATCTGTGGTAGGAATTTAGGGTTTCAAAAAAAAAAAAAAAGGAATTTAGGGTTTCCCAGACTTGCTTGTGTAGTAGGGGTTCTTTTTTAAAATAAATATTCCTGAGCTCCGTCCTTTTGGGTGGCGCTAAGGAATCGCTATTTGACCTAGGGATATCAGTATAGCCAGGAACCTTTGGATCGGCTGAGTTATGAAAGAGTCTTGAAGCTTTAACATTTGGAAGGCTACCTATGACCAGAGCCATTCTGCCCTCTTTCTGTGAATGAAGTCACCCAATAATCCTGCTCAGAAGCAAGAGAGTAGACATAACGATTCTCTTTCTTCCTGCCCCTCAGCCCTGAGACACGCCGAATTTCACTGTAATGCCATTGGCACCTTTGGCAACTCTGCCAAAGTCCATCTCTTACAGCCACCTGTAAGTTGAGGACCAAATCTTACCGGGCAGCCCTGGCCACTTCCCACCTTATTTTATGTCTTTATTCTCTCACCTATATTATAGAGGTAATTATCTGTGTCCTTGAGGATCTCCACATTCACGTCCAGGAGTGAACAGTGAGGACTCAATCTCTTAGTCTCAGGCTTCATCCTCTGCTCCTCACCTCTTGCTCTTGCTCCCACTCCCAATCCTTGGTTCCTTCTCTCCTCACTGCACTGCATCAGCTGTGACGTCCTTCCCATCCTACCTTCAGACGCCAGAGGCCACACCAAGACCTAGAACACCTGGGTTCCAAGTCGCATTCTCTGAGCAGTGTGTTCAGTCTCCTAGGATACGGGGGAAGCGAGGCTGAGTGGAGGGGTGTGCTCCTGAGTGTCCTCCGCCCTCCTGGACCCCAGGGTCAAAACCCCCACAGGGGACGAGAACCCGACCTACTGGGAATTAGAAGAGAAAGAAAAGGAGGAAGAGGTGAGGGGAGAAGGGGTGGGGAGAAGGAAAAGGAGAGGAGAGCACAGAGAGGTTGGCGGGTGAGCAAGTAGGGAGGCAGATGGGATGGGGAGAGAAGAGTGAGCTGGGCCAAAGGAAAAGGAAGGCACCAGGTTGGGGAGAGGAGAGAAATAGGAAGAAAGGAAACAAAGGCTATTAAGTGGGACATGGTGGGGGCAGAGAATGACAAAAGTGGGGAGACAAAGCATCCATGTCCCTTGTTGCTTCTTAGCCCTGCTCTAACCTGCTTCCAGAGTTTCCTTTTAGAAAGAAAGGGTTTTCCCTTTCTTTTTTTTTTAAGATTTATTATTTATTTTAGAAAGAGAGAGCAGGGGGAGGGGCAGAGGGAGAGAGAGAGAGAGAGAGAGAGAGAGAGAGAGGATCTCAAGCAGACTCTGTGCTGAGTGTGGAGCCTGATGCTGGGCTCAATCCCACAACTCTGAGACCATGACCTGAGCCAAAACCAAGAGTCGGATATGCAATGAACTGAGCCACCCAGGCACCCCCAGAGAAAACCCTTTCTAAGGGCAGAGCCTTGGTGAGATCTCTGAGCTGGTCACAAGGAACCATGGTTCTGGTCCCACTTCTGCCACGTAATTCATTCGATGACTCTGGCAGTTCAGCTAATCTTTCTAGCCTTTCTCCATAAAATGAAGTCCAGCTCTGACATTCTGTGGCTCCTCGAGTTGAAATCGGCCCTCATATGGCCACATGTCACCTGGATATAAGTTTAAAATAGTGAGTCAGGAATGGGAGCAGGATTGGAAGAGCATGCCAAACCCTGGGGTTGGAAGAGTTTGACCAAAATGCATAAAATGATTTTCTAAGGCTTTCTTGAGAGGAGATAGGCTCCAAAATAGGGGTGTCCCAGCACGTTTCAGGACATGATTGTGAGGCTCCTGGACACAGGTGTAAGGAAAGGGCATTCTGTTGTCTCCCAGGGCCGAGATCCACCCCATCCCAAGGTCCCTATGCCCCAAACATGGGAGCTGAAATTCAAAGAGGAGGTAAGGAAGGATATTGGCAAGGGGGATCAGAACCCCAGGCTTCCCCCTTCCACTGGAGTCTGGGGACCTGAGACATTTAGGAGGGACCTGTTACTTCACTCTTCATTCAGTTTTTGCGAGCCTTAGATTCCAAGCGGGGCTGCTTTTCTGCCGCTCATGAAGCACCCTAGGTCCCTTCTTCCATCCAGAGGCTTCTTCTGATCTCACCCAGGCTCACTATATTCAGCCTCAGCCAGCAAAACCTTTGCTTTTTGGAACTGTCGCAGGGTTCTGTCTCTCCTGAGGGCTGCCTTGAGTTATCTTTCCCACTTAGGTACAGTCTGGCTCCCCAACCTTCCCCTCTCCCTCTGGGCCCCTGCATATTGCTACTCCTTTAAAAAGCCTTCTCTAGGTCCTCCAGTCAGGGGAGCTGTATTTTCAGTGACCTCTGCATTTTTCCTAAAGATTTAGTCACCCTTGGGTGACTTGATAGGCTCTTCCAGCTAAAGAGAAAGAAGGCACTGAGATGCCATGTGACCTCAGACAAGTCACAAATCATTTCTGGACTTCTGCTTTTCGTTGATGAGATCTAGCGAGTGGAACTGCACCATGTTCTAATGGAGCACCAACTGAATGATTGCTTTAGAGACGCTTTTCGTGTTTTAGATACTCACCATTGTCAAAAATTTAAACTTATCAATTAAAAAACATAGCACTTCTATTCAAGGGCAGTTCCTTTGCTTTCGCAAAGCATTGAGCTCTATGTTTCTTGCGCTTTGCCAGTTCCAGAATGGTTTGGTCAAGAGTTGAGAATTTCTTAGAGGGGCTGAGCTAGAATCAATGTGGCTGCATATCAAGTCTTCTGGCTCTCTCTCTTTTTTTTAAGTTATTTATTTATTTATTTATTTATGAGAGAGAGTGAACGAGAGAGAGAGAGAGAGAGAGAGAGAGCGAGAGAGCGCGCGCACACAAGCAGGGGGAGGGGCAGGCAGAGGGAGAGGGAGAAGCAGACTCCCCACTGAGCCCAACCCGGGTCTCAGTCCCAGGACTCCGGGATCATGACCTGAGGCGAAGGCAGACACTTAACCGACTAAGCCACCCAGGCGCCCCTCTTCTGGTTCTTTTCAAGAGGAGTTTGTTCTTACCTACTAGGACAACTTAACCAGATCCTAAATTAGCATGCATCTTAAAGAGGGCTCTCTTTTTCAGGAGGCAAAGGAAACTTGAAAATGCATTTCTAAGACACGTAACTCACCTGGTCCGTTAAGCTGTTGGGAATAACTGTTATGACAAGTAAAGTGTGCTTTACCATGGGAAGGCAGAAGAATGCGGCTTATGTAACAAGTATGGTACTAAGTGTCACCGAAGAGGCAAAAGTAGCTTTCTGCCCAACACCCCAGAGTCACACCCTTCAGCTCCTCATTATTAAGGACCACCATCTTGCTGGCTGCCCCCTTTCAGAACCTGGAATCTCTCTATATCCTAGCCTTCTCTTCTCCAGGGGGAATCACCTCAGCTGCTCTATCTTGGGATCCCTCTCCATGGTCCCGTGCAGACCCCCCAGCTCCCAAGGGGCCAAGGCAGAATGCTAGTAGTCCTCTCTGGTGATGGCTATGGGAAACAGCAGACACTGTGGAATCAGACATATTTGGCTCTAAATTCTGAATCCTTATGTGATTTGATGCAAGTTTCTTAGCCTCTCTAAGCCTCAAAGTCATCAAACTCAAGCGAAAAGTAAAAAAGAGCTAAAGACTATGTAGATGAAGTGCTTGGCACACTGTGGGCCGTCAGGACGCACGGGTTTCCTTCTCTTCCTCCTTTGATCTGTTATTCTAAGATCACCAGTATTAACCCAGAGCCTTTTGGTCCTCTGTGCTCCTCCAGGTGACTCTGGCACCAGCTGGTGGAGCAGTGGGTAATGGTGTCTCTGATGCAAGGCCGTGAGTACCCCAGCAGGAGAGGAGGGTTTCGGGAGACAGCCCAGGGATGGGGAGGAGGGGAGGAGTCTGGACCCCTGTTCAAGAGCTCCTCCTGGGCCCTCCACCCTTCCCGCCAGCTACCCAGCCAGCCCCTTCTTCTCCTGGCCCAGGGCTGCCCATCAATCCAGATTTGCGGCTGATGCAGAAGGGCATGCTGATGCGCAAGGTGAGGTCCAAAAGCTGGAAGAAACTGAGATACTTCAGACTTCAGGATGATGGCATGACAGTCTGGCATGCCCGGCAGGCAGGAGGCACTGCCAAGCCCACCTGTGAGTCACGTGGATGGCTAGGCGTGGGTGTGGTGGGGGGATCAGACTCTGAAGAGCCCAGGTGCTTGAGAGCAGGGGAGGGACCAGGGTCCTACAGCATGTCCTTGCGCATCTACCTCGGAGGCTGGAAAGTGGGAATTATAACAGTACTTGCCTCTTAAGGCTATTTATGAGGATTCAATCAGTTACTGCATGTAAAAGGCTTAGGAGTGCCCTGGCACATAATAAGGCTCAATAAATCCTAGGTTTTATTTATTATTATTATAGTGAGAGCATGATCTCACGCATCAGACTGCCCAGATCAAAGCCCTGGCTCTGCCACTTTCTAGCTGAGTGGCTTTGGACAAGTTACATTAAACTTCAGTTTCCTCATCTGCAAAATGGGGATTGAATAGTCCCTGCTAGAAGGTTACGGAGACTCAGTAAGTTAATGTACAAGCACCTGGCGTGGCCCCTGAAGCCAGGATGCATTTCACAAATTAGCCACTATGAGGAATATTTTTAAATATCACAAATGCAGCACAACAATGTGCATCCTGTTGACCAGACGCTTTATGACCCCTCTAAAAACGTGATCACAGGACACATCTGAGAGAGTCTGCTTTAGAGACATAATCAAAGCTCACAATCCACAGCAACCCCAGCTGAGGAAAGGGGGTGGAAGAATTTCTCTGGTGCTTTCTTAGACATCTGGAAAGAGGAGGCCCTCAAACCTGGAACGGGGAAATTGAACTTGGACATATCATGCTTTGGTGTAACCGCTTCTACCTTTAAGTGTGTTTCCATCCCATCAGCCCCCCCAGTGGTCACCATGTGGACTGGCCATAGAAGGGACCATCCCCTATTTCAGACGAGGGTACTGAGGGGTTAAGTCATTTTGGTCTGTGTCACACTGCCAGCCAGTGGCCCGAAGCCAGGTCTTGCCACTCCCAGCACGGGCCCCTTGGCATGCTGCCTCTGAACATGGCAGCGACTCACGGGGAATCCTGAATCCCAGGGGTCTGCATCTCCCCGTACCCAGTCTTTGGGGGTTTCATCCTGCGGAGGGAGGTTGGGCTTCCTCCTCCCTATGGCTCCTTAAAGGGTCCCTAACCCTTCACCCCTGCAACTTGGCGGACTCTCTTCCCCCCCCCGCCCCCGCGCCCCCTTGTTTCCTCTCTGGTAGTCTCCATCTCTGATGTGGAGACGGTGCGCGAGGGCCACGAGTCCGAGCTGCTGCGGAGCCTGGCCGAGGAGTTCCCCCTGGAGCAGGGCTTCACCATCGTCTTCCACGGCCGCCGCTCCAACCTGGACCTGGTGGCCAACAGCATCGAGGAGGCCAAGATATGGATGCAGGGGCTCCAGCTTTTGGTGGAATTTGTTACCGGCATGGACCAACAGGAGCGGCTGGATCAGTATCAGCAGGATGGAGTCGGAAGGGCCGGGGGGGAGGTGGTGGTGCCAGGGGTCACTGAAGGAGCCAGATGCTGCAGGACTAGAGATGGGGCCGGGGGTGGGGTGGGGGTTGGCGTGCTGTGCTAGGGAGGCCTAAGAGTCCAGATGGGGTGGGCAAGGACAGCTCAGGCCACTGTGAGGCAGAGGATATTGAAGGTGTAATGGAGGCTTGGGATGACAAAGACATAACCAGGCAGAGGGTAGGCAGAAATCAGGCCCTTCAGGACTGGTGGGAGGGATGGTGAGAGACAAAGGACCAAACAAGGTGCTGATCTTGAGAGCCGATCAGAAGATCCCAGTGGCATTAGCTACCGTAGGACTGGGAAGCAGAACTTTGTGGTGTTGACTCATTCAGGTTTCCTAGATTGTATTCACCTTCCATGCCAGGCCGTTTATTCATTTGTTCGTTCGTTCATTCATTCATTCATTCACCATCTATTGAGCAGAAGGTATCAGACGCTGTGCCAGGCTTTAGAGGTACAAATATTAATGAGACTCAGGCATTGTTTTAGTCGGTGGAGAAAATGGAATTGTGTAAATCATCTAAGTACCCTAGAAGTGTTATGGGACTGAAATTATTTGTGGGTGTTCAAAGGAAGGAGAAATATTTAATTCTAGCTGAGAGAGTTCTGAGAAAAACAGGGAGGAAGTTGAGTTTGAGCTGAGCCTTGAAAAAGAGTAGAACTTGAACATAAAGAAAGGAGGGGGAAGGCTCTGCTGCCTGAGGGAACAGCATGAGAAAAGTCTCAGAGATAGGACATTGAAGAGCAGGAGGGAGAGTCTGGCTAAAGTACGGGGAGGACAGAGGTCTGTTGAGAAGGCTGTGTGGGGGCCAGATTGTGGGGGTGAAGACCTTCAATCTACGTTAAAAAATTTGGGTTTCTTTCTGCAAGCAACAGGGAGGACCCTGCAGGCACCTGAGCCATGCAGGGACAAGACAGATTGGTGCTCGGGGGAGATTATTCTGGAAGCTAATATGGAAAATGCATTGGCATGGAGGAGAGACTTGTAGCAAAGCTAGGGGAGGCGATGTCAGTGGATGAACATGCACACACATCTGCACACACAAACACACACAGTGCTTTTGCCTTGACTCACACCTGGATGGCTGAGTGACTGGTTCCAGCGTGGAGACAGGAACCAGGATGGTAGGATGAGTTTCCACGAAGTCCAGCGGTTACTGCACCTGATGAATGTGGAAATGGACCAAGAATATGCCTTCCAGCTTTTCCAAGTGAGTCTTTTAGGGAAGGATTTTCAGAAGCCAGCCAAGGCCGTGTTCTCACGTGGCCAGATGTACCTGGCCCTATTCAGCATCACTCTTTGTTGAATCTCTCCTATGTGCCCTACCACTATGCCAGGCTCGATGGAAAGTGTAGGGCATGGTTCTCACCCTTCAGTCTTAGAAAGACAATTCATAGTCTTATGAAGGGTAAACAACCATACGTTACTGTGTCAGACCTCAAGGACCTCTCTGTCCATGGCCAGAACTTCCCAGGTGCCTAGTAACAATGGAAAAGTCCAACTGGAATGTGAATAAAATAGGAGGAGGGATCTTTTAAACTCTTAGGCACTTGTTGGGGCATTTAACCCTTTCTGATTGAAAGTTTTCTCTACTAGCAAATGGTACGGCTGCCATGTTGCTTTTTACTTACCGAAGCGGCTTCTATGAACACAAAGTGTCAGGAGTTCTGGGAGAATTTTGCAGAAAGATGTTTGTATTCACCTGTCAGCAAGATTGCTCTTACAGGACAGGTCAAAGCCACACAATGTGCTCTTAAAAGGATTTTTTCACCATCCTCTAAACCCTTGCTTGCAGGCAGCAGACACATCCGAGTCTGGGACTCTGGAGGGAGAAGAGTTTGTAGAGTTCTATAAGGCGCTGACTAAACGTACTGAGGTGTACGAGCTGTTTGAAAACTTTTCGGCCGATGGGCAGAAGTTGACCCTGCTGGAATTTGTGGATTTCCTCCAAGAGGAGCAGAAAGAAGGAGAGCGAGCTTCTGACCTTGCTCTGGACCTCATCGACCGCTACGAGCCCTCAGATAGTGGTAAGAGGGCCAGGGTGGAGAGGCACTGGGCATGGGCGAGGAGGGGGGACCTTAGAAAGGTCCAGAGACAAGCCACCTTCTGCCTAACTCAGGGAAGGCTGAGCCCACACCTGCCCCAGCCCCTGTGCAAGCATCTTCATCTCATTCAACTGCTCCCTGGGAAGGAGAGCAGCAGTTTCCTGCCCAGATAAGACAGGAGTCTCCTCTGTAATGCTGTATCTCTCAGGAGGAAGAACATTCCACAAGTCTCCTTTCCTCCACTATGCTCATGCTTCACTTTCAGAATCAGTTCGTCCTGATGTCAGCATTTGTCCCCAGCGGAAAAGGGAGATCCTTGGTCCTCTCCTTTTGGCTTCTTCTCTTCTAGCGCCTAATTCCTTTCTTCCAGCTCTCTTCATGGTTCCTGTTTGCTGTCTCTTTAAATGCTGGCTCTCTGCCCCTTCCTGGGCTTTCTCCAAATTCTCCAAGTGGTTCTTGAGTGGCTAAGCCTCTGGGCCAGGAAGCTAGTCAGTCCCCGGCTGAGGGGATGAGGAGGAGGCTTTCTTTCAGCAAAAGCACAGCTCAAATACGCCCTTTCTGTCTTCAGCCCTTTCTCCTTGCCCCTTCAATAGACATCGCCCTGCCCCCCATTCCCTTCAGAATACGAGGAATTTACATTAATAATAAATGACTTACAAGTTACTTTCACATCACTTACTTCCTCTAACCTTCACTACAATCTTGTAAATCAGGAGAATAATCCTTATTCAGCCTCTGCTAAGTATCGCATTAATGTGCTAACATCTCTACATGTCTTTTCTCATCATTCCAATGACCAGTTGAAGTGGCTTCTGTTATTAAGTCAGTTGTGCAAAAGAGGAAAACTCGGATTTAGAAAGATCAAATGATTTGCTCAAAGCCAAAGCCTAATGAGAGGAGGAATTGGGATTCAAACCCGGGCCACCTGACCATTACCTAACACCTCTGTTGAGCATGAGGATTAGAGATGAGGTGGATGAGAGGCGCCTGGGTGGTTCAGTTGGTTAAGCGCCTGCCTTCAGCTCAGGCCATGATCCCGGGGCCCTGGGATCTGAGTTCTGGATCAGGCTCCTTGCTTAGCGGGGAGTCTCTGTCTCCCTCTCCCTCCGCTCTTCTCCCTCTGCTCCTCGCCCCTGCTCTTGTACTTGTGCACTTGCTCGCACACACTCTCTCTCTCTCAAATAAATAAAATCTTAAAAAAAAGAGAGAGAGAGAGAGAGAGAGATGAGAGCTGGATAAATGACCCACATTTCCTAGGTCTCAACTCCCACTCCTTTTATTCATTCATTCACTCACTACTTCAGCTAACGCTTATTGAACCCCTGTAGTGGGCCAGGACTTTTGCTCAGCCCCGGAGATACAGCAGAAGGTCCGACAAGAACGCTGCCCTCATGGAACTGAGACTCAAACAGAAAGGGTTGGAACCCCAGATTCCAGATTCATGTCTGTGCTCAGAGAAGAAAGGGGGCTGTAAAGCAATCATTTCGGAAAAATGAATAGAATAAGAATGCCTGAGGATTAAGAAATAGGATTTTCTTTTTTTTTTTTTAAGATTTTATTTATTTATTTGACACAGAGAGAGAGAGAGGAATCACAAGTAGAGCGTCAGACAGAGGGAGAGGGAGAAGCGGGCTCCCTGTTGAGCAGGGAGCCTGATGCGGGGCTCCATCCCAGGACCCTGGGATCATGACCTGAGCCGAAGGCAGACACTTAACTGACTGAGCCACCCAGGCCCCCCAAGAAATAGGAACTTCTATCTCCAGTGCAGGATCCAGTAGACATCAGTTACATTTATTCTACCACCTGCCCCTCTGGGTGGTGTTCCCTCCCCTGCACTCAACCGTCAGGTACAATATTCTGGCTGCAGAGGATAGTCTGTGCCAGGAAACCCGGGCTCAAGGCCCCACTCTGCTGCTTACTAACTGAGTCACCCTGGGCAAGCTGCTTAATCTAGCAGGGGCTCGATTTTCTCATTTGTAAAATAATTGGTGATCGAATGAAATGACCTACACGAAAAGTATCTGGCAACTGTGGATTTTCTCTCACAATTTAAGTTCTTACTGTTAAGAATAAAACCTCCTGCCTGACTTCCTGCCGCTCTCCACCATCTGTAGCCTTGTCAAAGCGGGAGCAACGAAGCTGGTCATTAGAGTCGAATTGCTCCACCTCCCACGGGAGCCCCCCTGCAGCAATGTTGCCCTCAGTGAGACTGCACGGCCTGGTGGGACTGGCGTGGCTCAGACACCTGACGTCCGGGGTTCAAATCCCAGCTCCTTCACTTACTAGTTATGTTACCTAACCTCTCAGGGCAGATTATATTCTATCTACCTCATCACGTTGGCGAGAACATTAAGAAAGATGCTGCACGGGACGTCCTGGGCACAGAGCAAGTGCTCAGTACTAGTCATTGTTGTTGGTATTGTATGAAGCCCATGCTGACATGGGTGAGGGCTGTGGCAGGAGTGACAGGGCCCTGCCCTCAAACAGAGGGTGTGTTGTAGTCCAGGGGTATATTGGATGACCACTCTGCAGAACACCATATGGGAACTGGTGAGAGGAAGAAACCCTCAGGTCATAGTTGGCATTAGCCTCACAGGCCAGGGAATAAAACACAGGTACCTTGGTCGTGTCGCTCAAGAGTCTTCGACTTTGTTCCTCTCTGGGCTCAGTTTCCCCATATATAAAATTAACCCTTTATACCGAATACTATGCTGTCCTTTATGGTAACCATGAGCTCTTTGTGACTATTTTTTAAAGGTTTTTTTTTTTTTTTTTTTTTTTTACGATTTTTATTTATTTGAGAGAGAGAGAGAGAGAGAGAGAAAGCTTGAGTGCGGGTGCTCACATGAGCAGGGGGAAGAGCAGAGGGGGACGGAGAGGGACAAGCGGACTCCAGGCTGAGTGCAGAACACCGAGCCCGATATGGGGCTCAGTCCCACAACCCCAAGATCATGACGTGAGCTGGAACCAAGAATGGATGCTCAATTGACTGAGCCGCCCCACTGTGTGACTATTTAAATTTAAATTAACAGGGTCCTTGTGTGACTATCAGTTAAGCTTCGGACTCTTGATTTTGGCTCAGGTCATGATCTCAGGGTTGTGAGATTGAGCCCCGTATTGGGCTCTGTGCTCAGCAGAGTCTGCTTGGGATTCTCTCTCTCCCTCACCTTCTGCTCCTGGCCCCCCACTCTTGCGCACATGCACATGCATACATGCTCTATCTAAAAAAAACAGATAAAATCTTAAAAATAACATAAATTTAAATTAACTAAAATTGGGGTGCCTGGCTGGCTCAGGTGGAAAAGCATGCGACTCTTGATCTCACTTTGGGTGTAGGGATTACTTAAATGAATAAATAAATAAAAAGTTGCAATTAATTAATTAAAATCAAAACTCTAAATTCAGTTCTTCAGTCACACAGCCACATCTCAAGTGCTCAGTAGCCATATATGCCTAGAGGCTGCCACACTGGACCGCACAGGACAGAACATTTCCATCATGGCGGAAGGTTCTGTTGGATACTGGTGAACTAGAATGATCTTAATGCCTCTCCTCGTAGCTTTAACTCTCTCTGAGGGTGGGGATGATTGAAATGACAGACAGTGAGTGGGGCACGTTTGGGATCTGGAGGCTGAGAATGGACACCATCTGAAAGGCAGGACCCTGGAGAGGGGCGAGGTGCAGGATGGGCTAGAGGTGTGCTGGGCTGCCCTCGCTCAGAGCTTCTCACTCTAGCCTTCCCCTACTCCACACCTTAGGCAAATTGCGACATGTGCTGAGCATGGATGGCTTCCTCAGCTATCTCTGCTCGAAGGATGGAGATATCTTCAACCCGACCTGCCTCCCCATCTACCAGGATATGACTCAACCCCTGAACCACTACTACATCAACTCCTCTCACAACACCTACCTCGTGGGGGACCAGCTTTGTGGCCAGAGCAGCGTCGAGGGATATATACGGTGCAGTGGGAAAGAAGGGGAAAGGGCTCCAGTTCATGAGAAGTGGCCGTCTGTTCTATCAGTGGATAACAGGGAATGAAAAGATGTTGTGGGGGGCTTGGGGCTGAGGACCCCTGGATACGTGAGAGACTTGGAAGAGATGTTGAAGACTGACAGGAGAGTAGTATTGAAACTCTGTGGGCAAAATGGAGCTTCTCTCTCTCTCATAGGCTGTGAAACTCTCTTGGAACTCAGAGGTCCTGGAAGATTTATTTTGAACAAATAAACTAAACGTTACATGGAAGGCGGTATAGAGCATAGAAGTTAGAAACATAGGTTCTGGAGTCAGACCATATGAGCTCAAATCCTAGCTCTCTCACTGGTACTCGGTTCTAAGTATTTGACTTCTCTGTGTCTCAGTAACCCCATCCATGAAATATGATAACATTGCCTATTCTATCTGAGTTGTTGTGAGGACTAAATGAGATAATCCATGTGTTAATAGCTAATAAGTGATATCTGCTTTTATCGTGATTAATCGCGGATTGGATCAAAGAGTCAAGATATCTTTGCAGTGGCAGCAACTGAACTAGTAGCTTCAGGGCATAAAAGATGAGTGGAACATATTGCTTCTGCCCTAGGAAGTCTAGTAGAGAAAATAAAGTATAAATTTACTGAGAGTTTGAGGGGCGCCTGGCTGGCTCCGTCGGTAGAGCATGCAACTCTTGATCTCGGGGCAACTCTTGATCTCGGGGCAACCCCTGATCTCGGGGTCATGAGTTCAAGCCCCATGTTGGGCATAGAGCTTACTTTAAAAACAAACAAACAAACAAACAAACAAACAAACAAAATTACTGAGAGTTTGACTAAGTCAGGTGTTGCAGAATGCTATACAACCAGAACACCAGAAGTATCATGAGGCAGTATGTGATGACTTGCTGAAGGAAGATTGTGAGTTGGGGAGGGTGGGGGGTGGAGGTAGTGAGCCATAGCAGTATCTCGGTGGACAGAGAAGGGTCTGCGGAGATGTAGCTTGAGGGGGTCTTGACAACTAAATGCCAGTGAGCACTGCTCTCTCCAGAGTAGGGAGAGAGTCCCTAGACGGAAGATAAGAGCTTGACCTCTCTGTCCCTGGGGGCTTGGGGTTCTTGCAGGGCCCTGAAGAGGGGGTGCCGCTGCGTGGAGGTGGATATATGGGATGGACCTAGCGGGGAACCTATCGTTTACCATGGACACACCCTGACCTCCCGCATCCCATTCAAAGATGTCGTGGCCACTGTAGCCCAGTACGCCTTCCAGGTAAGAGTCGCGGGATGGGCGTACTGGTGAGGGAAGATGATCTGAGGGAAGAGTGGCTGGCTCTGCATCTGGGGAAGGTAGATGGATGCAGGGGAGGTTATGTCAAATGGCAGAGATGTTCCAGAGATTTTAACTGTGAAGCATCAGGCAAATATTAAGGGATTATGAATAAGGGTTGGATGTGTCACTAGTAATTAGTAGTCCTAGAGGTAATTGCTAGAGCTCAGTGACTATTACTTCTAACAACTGTCACCCATCTCGGAGAGGGTGGTTAAGGAAACCGAGAAAGTGGTGGGTAGGGCTGGGGGAAAACAGGAGTCTGGAGAGGAGAGTGTAACATGAACACATAATCAGGGGAATGGCCTAGCTGTCCCACGCTGAGCCTAAAAACTCAAAGGTCCCAGAGGGACCTGGGTCACACCTGGTATAGGTCTGAGATTTGGGATCCCAACAGTGACTTTGAGATGTGAGGTGGGCCCCAGACCCAGCAAGACCTACTTGATGTCCCGAATCGGGTCAGAGAGGGGTTTAGCATTCAGGGTACTCTGAGTGAGTCACCGGGGAGGGGGCGGGTCCGGAGAAGCAGGGAGGTTGCATGCTTTAGACCTCTGGCTCTAGCGTTCCTTCCCTTCCCCATCAGACCTCAGACTATCCAGTCATCTTGTCCCTGGAGAACCACTGCAGCTGGGAGCAGCAGCAGGTCATGGCCTGCCATCTGACCGAGATCTTGGGGGAGCAACTGCTGAGCACTACCTTGGATGGGCTTCTGCCCACTCAGCTGCCCTCACCTGAGGTAGGCGCCCTGTTCCCCCAGCCCGGGCTCTGCTGTGGCTTGCATTCCCTCCCTACTGTGCCCCTCCGTGCCCCTCCTGTTCCCTTATTCTCACCCTTACATGGACCATCTCGCTCCTTAATATCCTTGGAGACAACTTTAATGTTCCAAAAGTCCAATAAAATGCAGAATTGTTTATCGTTTTCTAAATTTGAAATCAATTGTTTACTTCTTATTTCTTTTTTCAATGGAAATATCTTGATTTTTTTTCCCCAGATAGTTCATAGTTGTTGTAGAACGTACAGACAATAGAGAGAAAAGGAAATCCCCCCACCATAATCTCAACCTCTCCCATAACAGGTGTTAAGAGATTTTTGTAAATGCTTATATAAACATATATGTGTATATATATTCACACTTTAAAAAATGCTTGGGGTCATTTTCTATATCCCTTTTATATCTCACATACAATATAAATCATGGATGTCTTTTCACGTATAATTTTTTTCCTTTTAATAGCTCTGTGGTATTCCATTTTCTTTTATGAACCATTATCTATTCAACCAGTAAATGGTAAACATTCAGGTTGTTGGTAATTGTTCACTTGTACATACAGCTTTGTCCATCTACTCTTTCTTTCTTTAAAAAGATTTATTTATTTGAGAGAAAGAGGGATAGAGAGAGCAAGTGTGCGGGGGTGGGTGGGGAGGGGCAGGGGGAGAGAATCTCAAGCAGACTCCCCGCTGAGCACGGAGCCTGACACGGGGCTCAAACCCACGACCCTGAGATCATGACCTGAGCCAAAATCAAGAGTCGGATGCTTAACCAACTGAGCCACCCTGGCGCCCCATTTACTCTTTCTTTGAGATGGACTCCTAGAAGTAAATTGCTGGGTTGAAGAGTTTGCATGTTGATATTTTGGTTGTTACTGCCGAGTTGCCCTCTGGAAAAAAATAGCAAATTGCACTCTGACCAACAGTGTAAGAGACGGGCCACACATATCTCCAGTAGTAAGATGATTCATAGTGGCAAATGTGGAAAGAAAAAAGTCAAGTTTTTAAAAAAGAAAAGTCTATATTTTCTTCTTTTGAATTAATTGATATTATTTACCCACTTTTATTGGGGCTTATAATCTTTATTGGTATATAACAAGTTTTTAAATGTTAAAGACATTGATGCTTTGGGAAATTTGTTTTTGCATTCTTTGCTTTTGTCTTATAGCATCTTCTGCCCTATAGAGGATTTTAAGCTTTATGTAGTCAAATTGGCCAGTGCTTTTTATGCCTTCTGAGTTATCATCTCCTGTTTCTTTTCTTTTCTTTTCTTTTCTTTCCTTTTTTGAGAGAGAGAGAGCGGCGGGGGTGGGGGCGGACAGAGGGAGAGGGAGAGAATCTCAAGCAGACTCCTTGCCGAACGCAGAACCCAACACAGGGCTTGATCTCAGGACCCTGAGGTCATGATCTGAGCCAAAACCAAGAGTAGGATGCTTAACCGACTGAGCCACCCACACACCCCTCATCTCCTGTTTCTAAAGGCTTTTCCCACTTTAAGATTATTCAAAAAGATTCTCTATTTTTTTTAAAGATTTTATTTATTTATTTGACAGAGAGAGACACAGCAAGAGAGGGAACACAAGCAGGGGGAGTGGCAGAGGGAGAAGCAGGCTTCCCACGGAGCAGGGAGCCCGACGCGGGGCTCGATCCCAGGACCCTGGGATCACGACCTGAGCCGAAGGCAGACGCTTAACGACTGAGCCACCCAGGCGCCCCAAAAAGATTCTCTATTTTCTTCTAATACTCTTATGTCCATTATATTTACATGTAAATCTTTAATCTGGGAGGAATCTCTCTGTGTCAAGAGTGAGGTATTTTTTGTTTTGTATTGTTTTCCAATTGGATGGAGATGTGACAAGTTGGCTTAACAATAGGGAATCCCTACTGTGTGTATCAAGCGGCCCTACTGTGTGTATCAAGCGGCCCTCCTGTGGGGACTTCTGGCCCCTCACTTCCTCTGCCTGTGAGAACAGTGGGAGGTGCATGGCCCCCAGAGCAGACAGGTAAAGGAGTCCCTTCATTTCTGTCTCCAGGAGCTTCGGGGGAAGATCTTGGTGAAGGGGAAGAAGTTAAGGACACTTGAGGAGGATCTTGAGGAAGAGGAAGAGGAGGAAGAGCTAGAGTCTGAACTGGAGAGAGAGCAGGAAGCTGACCCGGAGCTGGAGGCCCAGCTGGAGTCTGAGCCCCAGGAGTTGAGCCCACGCAGTAAGGACAAAAAGAAGGAGAAGGTGGGCCAGGAGAGTGGTCTTTCTGCTCTAGCATTTGGTCAGTCTGTACTATAAGCTGAGTTCATGTGTGGAGAGACTAGAGCCAGGCAGGGTGGAGGGCCGAGGAGCAAAATGCCCCTTGCCCCCAATAAAAGAGGTGTAAGGATGCGTGCATGACATCACGACATATTGTCATATGTAGATAGATTACAGTGGCTTTCCAACTTCTTTGGGCCATGGAATCGTTTTTGAATGAAATCTTATATGAGAGCTCTGTATACAAAAGAGATCAATGCGGAGCCATCCTAGTTGAAGCACCCATTTGGCTCTCTCGGGTCCCCTGTCGACTCCTGAGACATCTTTGTACTTCTTCTCAGTCTCTTTAAATTAAGGCCAGTTTGAAAAACACTGCTGTGTGTGTGTGTGTGACAGAGAGAGAGAGAGTGTACACCCTGCACTGTTGTACTGGGGACATAGGGCTCCTGAAGTGACTGCTGTGACCTCATCTGAAATGGGCTTAGAGAAAGCTTCTTGGAAAAGGTGAGTCTGAGAAGGGGCCAGAAGTAGCCAAAAAGGAGGAGCAGAAAGAGTTGGGGAAGGTGAAGGCTCTACGAAGACTGTGCCGAAGTGGTCTGGTCCATCTCCCTGTGGGGAAGGGGTGCCATTGGTGGGGCTGCCAAGATCCTGGTTAGAAGTCTGCCTTTCTCCTCGTGCACTTCCCTGACTTAGCTGACTAACTTCTAGCTTACCCTCTCCTCTCCGGGGCTGTGGTGTCTAACCTGCTACCATGTCCAGGGAAGGAAATGGGAATGCAGAAGATTATAACGTTATTACCCTGGGACCCTCACATCCTTCTGGCACGACTTTCCTGGCCATTTGCATACCTCGACATATCTGTCTGGGTCCGTGTACATTTTGACCAAACTATACTATTAAATTGTTTTAAAAGATGAGAGGTAGAGAGGAGGACACCTCTCTGCTTAAAAGTAATCATTAAGAACCTGTTACCCAGAAAGTAACAGTAGGGCAGACCCTTTAAGCCCAGAGGCTGAAACCGATCCCATGAGGGTATGTAGACTGCCTTTATTCCCATTCCCATCCCCAGGTTGTGATGTGTCCGCTGTTTTGTCCGCCTGTCTGTTGTGAGGTTGTGGTTCAGGCTCCTATTTCCAAGCCTGGGCCCCTTCTCTTTCCCAAGCAGGTGAGGCAGGAGGGAGAACGCAAAGGGGAGGCAACGGGCAGAGGCTTAGGTTGGACGGGGAAATTCAGATCCTGGCCATCGCTTCTTTCCTTCTCAGACCCCTGAGGGTTCAATTCCGTCTTCCTCTCTACTTTCTCTTTTTCCAGAGATCCAAACCCATCTTGTGTCCATCCCTCTCTGCCCTGGTTGTCTACTTGAAGTCTGTCTCATTCCACAGCTTCACTCATTCAAGGGAACACTACCGCTTCTATGAGACCTCATCTTTCTCTGAAACTAAGGCCAGAAGCCTCATCAAGGAGGCTGGTCAGGACCAAAATGGAGGGCCAGGGAGGGAAGTAGGATGGGTAGGGTCAGGCTGCTGGGCAGGCACATGAGTCCCAAGAAAGAGGACCAAGGGGCTGAGGGGGGATGTGGGAGCTAAGCGACTCCTCAGAGCAGGTACAGGGTCAGGAGCTCTGAGCAGGGGGCCCAAGGCTCTAGGGGGGAGGAGAGCTGGGGGAGACGGTCAGCATGGAACAGACAGGCCCAGTGAAGCTTTCTGGGCCTGGCCTCAGGAGATGCTGGAGACAAGAGTCAAGTGGGTAGGTGGTGAACCTGAGGCCAGGGAAGTGGGGGGGGGTCATCTCCCCACTACACCCTTTATACAGGCAATGAGTTTGTGCAGCACAACGCCTGGCAGCTAAGCCGTGTGTATCCCAGTGGCCTGAGGACAGATTCGTCCAACTACAACCCCCAGGAACTCTGGAACGCAGGCTGCCAGATGGGTGAGGGGGTGGCGGGGACAGGGAAGAGGGAGTGGAAAGGCAACAGGGGGGGTTATCTGCCCCGGTGGCAGGAGGGCCAGGGAATGCTTTGAAGGGTGCTAGGCGAAGAAAGATGCAATCTGGGGGGGGGGGGGGGGGGTTGTTCCCAGCGGGCCCTTTGATACCCAATCCATCTCCTTCATTCCCTGAAAGAGGGGCTAGAGGGCTCCTGAGATGTATGCTTCCCTTCCTCTCTCCTGGGGCCCTCAGTGGCCATGAATGTGCAGACCGCGGGGCTTGAGATGGACATCTATGATGGGCTCTTCCGCCAGAACGGTGCCTGCGGCTACGTGCTGAAGCCTGACTTCCTGCGTGATGTCCAAAGCTCCTTCCACCCCGAGCGGCCCATCAGCCCTTTCAAAGCCCAGACCCTCCTAATCCAGGTACCACGGAGAGAGAAACCATAGGAAGAACCTAGGGTAGCCAGGATGGGTAGCCGGGGGCAGGGCGGGGGGGGGGGGCGGTAGCTGGCAGGAACGTAGTGGGTGAAGAATTCCTCAAGAGAGTCAGGATAGCCTGACTGTGAACCGTGGGGATCTGGGAGCCAGCTGCCTAGGTTCGAACCCATTCACTAGTCGTGTTAACTCTGGGCAAGTTCCGGAACCTTGGGCTCCTCACCTGCAAAATGGGAGGAATGCCACTCCCCAGCCTACAGGGTTGCTGTGATCATGAGTCTAGAGGTGCCCACAACAATGCCTGGGGCAGAGTCAGGGCTGTAAAGGGTTTGCTGAACATACCTACTTTCAAACCTCGTGCAATTTCTACTCGGGTGCATCTTAAATTGCAGCTAGGTTACTAGAAGAGAATATATTACTCAAAGCCAGAAGCTATAGCGCCAGGTCCTGAGACACCAGCCCCCGCCACCCCCCTCCCCGTGGGGCTGGGATGAACAGGGACTAGTGAGGTCCCAGAGTCCTGCTTGCAGGTGATCAGCGGGCAGCAACTCCCCAAGGACGACATGAGTAAAGAGAGGTCCATTGTGGATCCACTGGTGAGAGTGGAGATCTTTGGCGTCCGCCCTGACACAACCAGGCAAGAGACCAGCTACGTGGAGAACAATGGTGAGGCTGGGCGGTGCTGGGCAGGGTGGAGGGGCGGGGGGAGGAGCGTGGCTGCTTCCCTACCCAGCTGCCCTCCATGAAGCCCAGTCCCTGTCCCCACCCCCTCTCCCACCTCCACGGGAGGCAGTGTGGAACGGGACAAAGAATGAGGGCTTGGACATCTTGGATCTGAATCCTGGCCCCTCACTCACGTGCTCCGGTGACCTGGGCAAATTGCTTACCCACTCTGCACCGCAGTCCCCTCACCTGTAACATGCCGATCGCTGTGAAAATTGTGGAACACAAGGATGCGCCTAAAGCAGCCAACAAGGTCTATTCCTTCACTCCCTCTCTCCCTCACCCCCACCTCAGGTTTTAATCCATATTGGGGGCAGACGCTAAGCTTCCGGGTCCTGGTGCCCGAACTGGCCCTGCTGCGTTTTGTGGTCAAGGATTACAACCGGAAATCCCGAAATGAATTTATCGGGCAGTACACAGTGCCTTGGACCTGCATGCAGCAAGGTGGGCCAGTCCTTCGACCCCTGGCCAATGCCACCCGGGCTCTGGCTGTCCTTCTAATGCCCTCCTCCTGCCCCTCTCCAGGCTACCGCCACATACACCTGCTCTCCAAGGACGGCATCAGCCTCCATCCAGCTTCCATCTTCGTGCATATCAGCATCCGGGAAGGGTTGGAGGGGGATGAATCCTAAGGTGGGCACTTCCTGGGAAGGGTGGGTGCACTGGCCTGAGGTGGTAAGAACAACCTGGAAGGATGCTCCAGAAAGCAAACCGGGGTGGTAAGAATCAAGTTTTGGATTGTGAATTCCTAAGCACAAAATTACCTCACCCTTCCTAACAAGCCAATCTAGGACCTGATTTTTCACTCTCTCTCTTCCCCTTCTTCGTTTTTACAAGTCTGTGGTATCATTTCTACCCCCTTCCTTCACATACTCTATACTGGACTTCCTTCCTTTCTCTTGCCATAGGCTCAATCCCCTACACAGATCTAGGACTAATCTCTCTCATCAACCCTGGCTCAAAGGCTGGCTGCAACCCAGAGAGGGGCTTGGAGCAGAAGGACACAAAGAGGCATTATCCCCTCCACCCTAACTTCCTCTAAGCCCAGAGCCAAGGAAAAGATCAATCAAGCCTCAAGGCTCCCCAGGCAAAGGGTGGGGAAGGACACCGTACCCTAAGACCATACTGTGACATTCAGGAGAACACTGCATAACCCTGAGTCCCCACTGGATTGCTCTCTCCTGGCGCCACCTGTATAAATAGAGCTTTTCTACCCAGTTTGGCTTGAGTATGGTCTGTTGCTGGGCAAGAAAAGGACATATGAAGGTTGGGGGACATTTGAGGAAGACAGGTGGAGCAAAGGGTAGAAAAATAAGTTTCCAGCCCCCCCCCACATGTGCTACACAGAAGGGTACAGAAATATGGCTCTAAGGGCAAAAGGAGGAGACAAAGGGTTATGTGATCCAAGCCCTCCCGAGAGTTCGCCTGGAATAGTCCCGGTTTATGTCTACTGTCCCGATATAATGATTAAAAGTACCCTTCTTCATTTTCCCAGTGTGTCCCAGTTTCAGTGATTAAGCATACGGTCACCGTAAGGTACTCACAGAATTCTGGATTAGAGGTTCTCCCTGGGCCCCCCCGTCTCCCCCAAGTCCCATGCCTTTCACACTGTCTTGTGCTTTAACTCCCGTGCAGCTGCCGAGCCAGGCTGAGGATAGAGGCTGAATTAAAGCTGCTTCCGGGGGCGGGGAGGGCTTCTTGGGTCTACAGGTAGACCAAGGGGCTCAGAAATAAGGAGCAGGGAAAGGGCCAAGACAGGCTCAAGGACAGAGAGAGAAGGCAGACCCGGGAACGTTTCGGAATCCCTCAGCGAAGATGGAAGGAGACCAAGGGGAGGCAGAGGTCTGAGAGGGAACAGGGCGGACCGGCAGGACAGCCTGGCCGTGTTCAGTCAGGGACGTGGACGCGTCACTAAGCCAGGAACCATTCTGTTTAACATGCTTTAGAGAGCGGGAGGCGCAACAGCACATGCAGTTAGCTGCAACTGTGTGGACTTGACAGAGCAAGGGGGAAGGGGAAGAGAGAACAGGTAAAACCAAGGTCGCAGAGCCAGGGACTCTGGGGGAGCGATGAAGGACTCGGGCACTCACGGGTTAGAAACACAGTGTGCCCCAACCAGAAATCAATTTGTGGTCCGTGTCACTCTTGTATATGGCCATCAACGTCACAGTACTACAGCCTGAGTCCCTGGAGGCCTCCGGCCACCCGGGCACCTCGAAGCCAGCCCTTCCTTAGGCCCCGAGCCGCAGGCGAGCTCTGCTTCCAGTTGGCACGTCTCGGACCACGCCCTCCAAGAGGTCGGGCAGGCTCTCAGCCCTCGGGCCCGGTTGGGGGCGCGGCGGGAGCAGGAGGGCTGGGCTCCTCCAGCTGCACGTCATGCAGGTGCACCGTGGGGGTGGTGGGGTCTTTGCCCACTCCTTGGTTGGGGTCGGCCTGGTCGGGGTGGTGCCGGCGCACGTGCTTCACCACCTGGAACTTCTGCTTGGCCTTGTAGCTGCAGAGGCGGCAGAAGAAGGGGTGGCGGTCGGTGTGGGTGAGGGCGTGATGGCGCAGGCCGGCGGCCCAGCGGAAAGCACGGTGGCACACATTGCACACGTAGGGTTTGGCCTCGCTGTGCTTGCGGAGGTGGGTGCGCAGCAGGAAGCGTGTCTTGAAGGCCTTGCCGCACTGCTCACACATGAAGGCCCGCGCCTCCCGGTGCCGTGTCTCCTGGTGCACGCGCAGCGCGTCGGCCCGGTTGGTACAGTACTCACACTCGGGACACTGGTATGGCTTCAGTCCTACAGGATGGGGCGGGGCCAACGAACAAAATTACTGCCGAAGGTAGGGCGGAGCAACGTTTAGTGGGCCCAGGAATCACTGAGATCCTGGGACGTGACACAGGCAGCAAGCTGACTCAGGCCTGCATCTATGGAACGCTCCAGCCCCGTCTGACGTTTCTGTGCCCTCCTCCCAACACAGCCTCTTGTGTACAATGAGTGCCCCATGGACGCTGATAACTAACTGGACCCCTGAGTAGCCACCTGATAGCAATGAATACTCACTCAGATATCATAGGGTTTCCAAACGGGAAACTCCAACCCCCCCTTTGATCATGGGGTACTCATGGAATTTGGGAATCCATTTAAATAGAACTCCTTGTTCAACTCAAGAAGTAAAAGAAAATGCTTAAGAAGGAAGGGGTAGAGGCAAGAGGGTGGCCCTCACAGATGCAGAGTGCCCTGAAATGCATCCGGTTATTTCCTTGACACGAGGGCATCCTACGCATAATACAGGCACACCGTCATTAGCCGTTTTCTGAGCACCTAAAATTCATGGACTCCACACCCAAGAGAAAAAAAGAAGTTAACACAGGTGAACCTTCCATGTTCTCCTCATTACTCCAAATAGTTCCATCGTGTCTGACAGAACTAAGCAGACCTCTGTCAGTCACACGTTTAAGTTGGGGGGTTCTCACTGGGGGGTGGGTGGCCTAGAGCCACGGTCCGCAGGGAAGCTTTTACACACTACGCATGTCCAGGCCCTCAGGCTCACCTCTCTCCTGGTTCTCACGGGTCTTCAGTGCGTTGGGAAGCTATTCTGGCCAGTCAGCCTCCCCTCTACCCCTAATGTGTGCCCTGAATCTGAGCAAGGACATCCGCCACCTCAGGGAGGTTGGGTGTGCTGCCAGGGAGTGGGGGCTGGGGGGGCCCCCTTGGGCCCGTCGACAAGTGCACCACAGACTCACCTGTGTGCTTGGTCATGTGGTACTTGAGCTGGTTGACCCACTTGCACTTGTAGCCACAGTCAGGGCACAGATACTTCCGTTCTTCCTTGTGGATCCGCATGTGGTACTGGAAGAGGGGAGAGCAGAGTATGCCCAGAAAATGCGCACCCTTGGTCCTCAACGGAGGTGCTCCCGTCACCTAGCGGGCTGCCTGGTCTGGCCACTCTGATGCCACCCTAACCCACTGGGCCTACCTCTCGCTCTACCCTATCTCAGCTCTCCGCTTACTCCCTGTGCCTTTGGGTGCTTACCCCCTAACTCTCAGTCTATTAATCTATAAAATAAGAAAGAGCAAAGGTAACTAGATCTCCTGTTTTGCGAAGATTAAAATTACAGCGTCCAGCATGCAGTAAGTGCTCAATAAATGCTAGCCGTGATCATCTAGATCACCACTGAACTACTACATGCCTTTGTCACAGGCCAAGCACGCATCCTGGAATTTCACCTTCACAACCGCCCCAGGAAACCCCCCACCCCCTGCCCCGCTGTCACAGGGGAGGAATCTGAGGCTTGGTGGCATTAAGGGGCTTGCCGGAGGTCCCAGAACGAATTAATAACCGGGAGTCGGGATCAGAGAACCCAGGGAGTGCCCTCGGCGGCCCCCGGCCTTACCTTGAGGCGGGAGGGGTCAGCACAGGCATAGGGACAGAGGTGACAGCGGTAGGGCTTCTCCCCCGTGTGGATGCGGCTGTGCCAGGTGATCTTCTGCCGGTTCTTGGTGCTGTAGGCACAGTCGGTGCACTTGTAGAGCCGGGTGCCGCCGTGCCCTTTCACGTGGTGGTCCAGCACCAGCTGGTGGCGGCACGCGAAGTCACAAAAGGGGCAGCGCAGAGGGGGCTGGCCGCCGCCCCCTGCCCCTGCCGCCGCCGCCGCCTCCCCCTCGTGCCGCTCCAGGTAGTGCTTGACCAGGCCGGCGCGCTCCCGCGCGGCGAACTCACACAGCTGGCAGCGGTGGCTGAAGTGCCGCCGCCGCCGGTGCTCGTCCAGGGCCGGCCGGCTGGGGAAGGCCTCCCGGCAGGCCCCGCACTCCAGCCGCGGGTGCTGCTTCCGCGTGTGCCCCCGCAGGCTGGCCGGGCTGGGGCACAGCAGTCCGCAGCGCGCGCAGCGCAGGGGGCCGGCGGTGGCGGCGGCAGCGGCCTCGGCGGGGGAGCCTGGCGTGGCGGGCGGCGGCTCGGGGTGGCGGCGCAGGGCGTGCTGCTTGAGCGCCGTCTCCGAGCTGAACTGGGCCTCGCACTGGGGGCAGGCGAAGGAGGGGGTGCCCCGGTGGCAGCTGTTCACGTGGCGGGTGATGTCGTGGCGCAGGTAGCCGCTGTAGTCGCAGAGCGGGCAGAAGTGGGTGGGCGTCTTGTCATGGACCCTCAGCCGGTGCAGGCGGAGTTTCGAGTTGGTACCGAACGTCTGCGGGCAGGCGCTGCAGGGGATGCGGCCGACACCCGTGTGTCGGGACTGATGGGCCTCCAGCCGGTACCGTCGGGTGGTGGAGAAGTCACAGAAGGGGCACTGATGGGGCTTCACCCCCTCGTGCTTGAGGCGCCGGTGCTGCTGCAGGCAGCGGCTCTGTTTGCAGGTGAAGCCGCAGTCGGCGCACTGAAGTGGGGGCCGGGGCCGGCGGGCTGGCACAGCGGCGGCGGCAGCGGCGACGGCGGGGTGCCTCCGCTGCTGGTGGAGCCTCAGGGCGGCGGCGGCGGGGCTGCTGAAAGAGCAGAGGCCGCACTGCAGCTCTCCAGACTCTTCGAGGGGGCAGCCCCGGCTCTGGTGAGTCCTCAGGGCCCGCTCCTGCTGGCAGCTGAAGGGACAGGTGGGGCAGGAGAAGCGAGCCCCCTTCTGCTTTGGAGCCAGAGCTGGGTTCCCACTGGCGGGGCTGCACTCCGTGCCCACCCCGTTCGCGGAGGCCGAGTCCCCGTTGCTCAGAAGGGAGGCCCCTCGCTTTGCTGCCCCGCCGCGTCCCCCCCGGCAGCCTTCGGCCACGTGAGAGGTGATGGAGGAGAGCCGAGAGCACAGGAACGAGCAGGAGTTGCAGTGAAACTTGCCCT